CTAATTAATTATAGTAACATTATTAGAACCTTAAAATAATTATTTGGGCTATTATTATGAGTTATATAGAGTTTTGTTTAATGCTTATATAATAGTAATAATAGCTAGAATATTAATTAGTCTCGGTTAACGTTAGACTAAACCCTAGCGGTATTGATACGAGGTTTTGTCAAGGGAAAATTGTTTTAAGAGTAACGAAGCGCTGTCCGAGTACAGAGTCACCAACTTATCAGGTGAGTGCATAGTCCCTTTCATGAACATAATTTTAATACAAGTATTGATTGATGTATTAAATATATGTTTATGTGCGAGTTATTTGATGTTGCCTGAAATACATGCTAAAGAGCATACCTGATTATATATGATGATTTAGGACAAAGAGTAAACCTAAATTAATTATAAGGAATATTGAGCAGTATCTTCTTACGAGCACGAGTGAGTTATACTCAGACACTAGAACTTTAGTATATGTCATTGATCCGGGAGCATGGATTAGACATAGTCATTGTCCCTAGTCCGAGAGTATGGATTGGACACAGTCAAATGTCATTAATCCGGGAGTATGGATTAAAACATAGTCAGTTGTCCTTAGTCCGGGAGTATGGACATGACATAGTTATTCATCATTAATCCGGGAGTATGGATTTAAACATAGGCACTTGTCCTTAATCTAAGAGTATGGAATGGGCACAGTTATTGATCCGAGAGCATGGATTAGATCCGAGAGTATGGACTAAGTAAAAGGTAAAATTTAAGGTCCGAGAGTATGGACAGTCTCGTTGTGAGGATTAACGGGGTGGGGGTAAGAGTTGCTTATATATATATGGTGAAATTGTATATTTTGTGAGTTCTAAATTATATATATGATATAACATTGTGGGATTGAAATCCCTATGTACTCACCAGGTTTCCCAACCTGACCCACTCAAGCTTATTGTATCACAGGTGTCGATATGAAGTTACATTACACTGAGAGATTAAGGGGGTATAAATCACTAGTGAAAATGAATGTAAGTTCTGTTTATGCTTATGTTTCTGTATTGATCATGACATCCCAAATGTTTTAAATAAAAATACATTTATTCGGAAATGCCTTGATAAAATATTTATCATGTTTTTCTGGAAACAAATTCCGCAACATTTTTATTAAAAGAAGTACTCTGATTTTTATAAAGCATAAACAAAATCGGTCTTTTCTGGCCGTGAAAATGGGGATGTCACAAAAACCCTAATCGAATCTTTATAGCAACGACGACGAAACCCTAATCGAAGCTAGGGTTTGTTGTGGCTCCGTTGACCTCGATCTCCATATCTATCCTTCTTCGTATTTTCTAGGACTATTGTTACCATAACAACTAGTTAATCCGCTGAAGGCTCTGAAAAGCGACACCTTTCTCTTCAACGATGTCATATTTGACGATGAAGGATACCTGATCTGCCGCTAATGGAAAATTAAGATTTCTTTTAGGAGTGTTTTGAGATAACTATAGTTCACGTATGCTTCTCAACATTCTGTAATCACTGTGAAGCAAATCCTTTCCCACACTTCATTGTTAGTGACTAGTGAGTTTTTTGAAATCATAAATCAAAAATCCCCAAATCTGTGGAGTGTTGAAATAGGGATGAATGAACACAAATCTTTGTTGATGAAGATTTCATTGTGTTTTTCTTTAAAACAAAAACATGGAGAGAGAGAGAGAGAGAGAGAGAGAGAGAGAGAGAGAGAGAGAGAGA